AATTGGAAATTTTTGAAAAAATAAATAAATAAACGGGCAGGAAACGGGGCAAGTCCGCGCCCCGCCCCGCCCCGCCCCGACCCGAACCGAACCCGCCCCATTGCCATCTCTACATAGGAACGAGCAAGGTTATTGTTACTTCACGGGAAGATGGAATGACATCCTTCTTGACTATTCCATTCTTTAATTTATGTCTAGAAATCTACATACGCAATTAGTTCCATGACATTCATTATTAGGTAATTAATAGGCCAATGACAGTAATTTATAATTTCAATTTTTGTTTTCTTTGACCAAAATTCAAAATGGTAGAGAAAATGGGTTTGAACTTTGAATTACAGTATGTTTGATTAGTATGAAAAATATCTCATATCAAAGAAAATATTTTCCTTGTTTTAAGGAAAATAAAAACTTACTCTCTCAAAGAAAATGTTTTTCTTAAAAACAGGGAAAATTATGCATATTTTCAAAAAATTGGGAAATATTTTCAATGGAAAGAAATAGCAATCAAACATTCCAAAGTAGAAATTTGGGTGGAAAACTGACATTATTCATGAAAAATAAATGCGTTTTCATTATGTTCAATTTATGTTCTTGAATGATTTTTGAATTTTATATATTGAATTATGTCAAATTGATTTAGAATGAGTTTGAAATGATTTTTGAATTCCGTATATAGAATGGTTCTGAATGAATTTAGCATACATTTATTAAATTGTATTTATTTGAATTGATAATTAGCATTGACCTCCTGTTTGGGTTCCATTTTAATTTTAATATATTTTTCTCTTTCTTCTTTCTATCTACACATTTTTTAATAAAACAATATTATACGCAAACTTGAAAAAATTTCCTTCTTGTTAACGACACATTTAAAAAAAAAAAATCAATATTTCAAAATACATTTTTCCCCAAAAACTAGTTAAAATGGAGCCCAAACAAGGGCTGAATATTGGTTGTATATTTCTCTTTCCAATTACTTAGATTGATTGTTTGTATAAGTTATGAACAAATTTTTTAAACGTAAATTGGCATTTTCTTGTTTAAATCGATTGTTGGTACAATTATGGAACATTATATAAATTGTAATGAAATATCGGATATTTTTATATTTTTCACAAATTTTTTTTCAGGTTTGATCATGCTTTCTATCTTAAAATATCTGTATCCGTCATTGCCCACCCCCACAAGGTTTTCTTCAATTGATGAGTCCGAAAGTTTGATATTAACAACCAAAATGAAAAATAAAATAAAATAATAATAATAAATAAATCTAGAATCTAGTAGACGTAATCTCATGACATGTTTGGCAAAGCTTCTACAATTTACTCACTTATGGTCTCCACGCTCAGAGTTACCGGCGTTGCTTTGAAAATTCTCTTAATAGACTTCGAGTCTTCGACTAGTAATGCATTATTCACATTTGGGGTACGAACGAATCGTTTCCTTTGGCATAGTGATGGCAAAAAAATCCGTCCCCACGGGTTGGTGGGGCGGAGAGGGGGTGCCCAACCCCCGAAGCGTCCCGAACCCGCCCCGTAAAGAATAAAAATAATAATTAACTAC